ATATCTATTGTACATTTTGGGTTTTATTTACTCCTCCAGGTTCTTACACTAGGGAGATAATACGATGTTTACACATGCGGGTCTGATCTAGTTCACTTATGAGTATGATCTTTAGTTGCATCCATTTACCTAGAAAAGCCTCAAATTTATTTTTTTAAATCTTTTTTTATAGCTAATACTCTGTTGTATAAACATACCACATCCTTTTTATCCATTTCTCAGTGGATGGATATTTGGGTGTTTTCAAGATTTAGCTATGACACATATCAAAGACTAAAATTTAGCTATTAATCAAAGATTCAGATTTAGCTATTGTGCTGCTATAAACATGGGTGCACATATATTGCCGTGGTATGATGTTTTTAATTCTTCTGGAAAAATACCTAGAAGGGGAATAGCTGGGTTAAGTGGGACCTGCAATCCTACTTTTGTGAGGAATGTCCACACTGACTTCCATAGTGGTTCACATCTACACTCTCATCAGCAGAGGAGAGGAGTTCCTTTTCCCCCACAGCCCCTCCCACATTTGTTATTGGTTGATTTCTTGATGATAGCCATTCTTTCTGGGGTGAGATGGAATCTCAGTGTTGATTTACTTTGCAGTTCCTGAATGAACAGTGATGTTGGACATTTTTTGTATGTTGATTTGCCTTTCTACTTCATCTGAGAAGTGTGTATTCATCTCAGATGCCCATTTTTGCATTGGGTCTTTGAATTTTGGGGGCCTAATTTTAAAAAAATTCTTTATATCTTCTAGATAGAAGTCCTTTATCTGAGGGGCAATTCTCAATTTGTGAGTTTTCTTTTTACCCTGTTGGTGATTTCTTTTGATGTGCAAAAGCTTTTCAATAAGGTGAGATCCCAGCTGTTGATTCTTTGAAGTATTTCCTGTGCAGTTTTTTTTTTTCATGAACTCTTTGCCTACCGCTATGTCTTCAAGATGTCTACCTTTTTTCCCTTCCAGTAGGTTTAGTGTTTCTGTTTTAATATTTAGATCTTTGATCTATTTT